CCAGCCATGTATGACGGTTCCAGTTTCTCCACATCCCCACCAACACTCGTTATTTTCATGATCATGATCTCAGGGTCCTGGGATGGAGCCCTGCATCGGGGGTCTCCACTCAGCAGGGAGTCTGCTTTCCTTCCTCTCTCTGCCTGCCTCTCTGCCTGCTTGTGATCTCTGTCTGTCAAATAAATTAAAAAAAGATAAAAAAAAAGACTTAATGGAAACGAAGAGGAGAGATGTGAAGCAACTATTATTTTCTTTTCATCCTGAGCCATACTTTCCATTGTTTTTCCTTTCTCTTCTCTTTCTATGTGCGTATCTGTGTGTACGTGTGTGTGTGTATATGAGAGAGAAAGAGAAAATTTCTAGTTCATGAAAAGTCAAAGAAAACTTTATAGTGCTCTTATAGAGGCGCCTGGCTAGTTCAGTTGGAAGAACATGCGACTTTTGATGTCGGGTTTATGAGTTCAAGCCCCACGTTGGGCATAGAGAGTACTTAAAAAACAAAGTATCAAAATTGAAAAAAATTGAAATGCTCTAATACCTGGGTGAGATTGAAATAAAGGGTATGTTTTCACATTATAAGTCCTCATTGCAAGAATGGGGCAAGATTAATTGGATGCCCGTTCTCATATATCCTTTGCTCCATGGCATGTCAGAGCTAGTTCCAACTCTCTGAGAATAAAGGACAAAAATAAGAGATACCAGTAAGATTCCTTTTCTTCCCATAGTTTCCAGTACCGGGAAGACAAGAAGAACCCCAGGCTTCAGCAGACACAGGTTTCACCTCTCACTACGCAAGTTTTTGTGTGCAAAATTGAGCCATTTTGGTGAGCTGTAAGATTTCCAGGATGCCCAATAGTCAAAGCTTGCTTAGAGGACCACAGTGGGTGGGCATCTATAGCTTAGGGAGGGATGAGTGTCTTCCAGAACCCCAGATTCAGTTGGAACAAGCATGGAGCGTGTGCACTACTCATCAATTTCCAGGGTGAGAACTATCAGCAGAGCAGCCCATGGCAGTGATCATACCCTTGGGTCAGTCCACCATACAGTTTCCAAAAGAGGCAAAGACTGTGTTGAGTTAACTGCAAGTTGTGCAAATAACATGCCTGTTGCTATAAAGTGAAGGAATCACAGATGGAGGAGAGGAAAGAAGTTCTAATTGTGTTTTAGAACAAAAAGTAAAAACGTCATATCTACTTTGGCTTAGTGCCTTTAAAAGATCCTCAGATATCTAAACTTCAGAAATCTGGAATGTTCCAAATTGTTTAATTCCCTCCAAAGAAAGACTAAATGTTTGATCTACATTCATATTGTTTCAATTATTTTTTTTCTTTCTTTGCTTATGGCTTACATGTTAGAGATCTTCCTCACCGAAGACAGGGCAGTGACAAATCATATTCTTTGAAGCTAACCACTAAAGTGAGGAAATGAGTTGTGTTCTTTACTAAAAAGGAACCCATCTTTGGTATGAACATTTCGAGCAAGCTGCAAGAATCCACCTCTGTTGAAGATTTAGAAATTCAGGTGTCATTCTTCTCTCAGTAGCTCAAAGTCCTCTTCTTTTATTCTATTACCTAGAACCAGGATAGTACCTGGCAAATGGGGTCAACATAGTATTTAAGAACTGATGGGCCTATGCGGTGATTGGTGCCCTGGGAAGGCAACTCTCCCTGCTGAAGGAGTTGGCAGGTTTAGTTCCAGATCCTCAGGCAGGAGTGCACTGAGCTCCCGTCCCCCTCACCGAATGCCTGGAAATCATCTTTCCTTTCAAATAGGAAGCCCTTATCTTGCAATGAAGACTGGTAAAGGGAAAAGAAGAAGTGAGAGAGTTTTCATTTTGATCCATGAATTCTCTATAGAAAATCGGGGTTCCCTCCAATGAGTGACATCTTGAAAGAACTGTCTCTGTCAGCCAATCAAAAGATATTTGTAGAACCTCTCCTGTGTTCCAGGCTTTATGGGGGCCCACAGGAGCACTCCTTCCAGGGCATCCTGGGATAGAGTGGAAGAAGCAAGGGTTTCATAATTAAATCTTGAGCTCATAAATTTTTATTGTGATAGTATTTTATGCTACTAATTTCCTTAATGACCCAATGGAAGAGAGGAAGGTAAATCAGTAGTATAAAATGATTTTACATAGAATTTAGGAATAGCAGAAGGTTTGCCATAAAGAACTAGGCTAACCATATTATTTCCTACCAGGGCACCTTAGGGGATCCTGTTTTAATGAATAAATAAAAACTATGTGTAATTATCATATCAATTGCTTGCATCTAAGTGAGTGCTTCTGGAGTTATTTGATGGTGCTTAAAAATCTTTGGTCTCTGAAGTGCATTTAATGTCTCCTTGACTCTTATCTATATTATTAATTTGCAGATCAAAGTTAACTTGGTGCTATGCAAATGAGGAGACTTCCAATGAATGAAATTTTACTGTAAAATATTAAATCCTTACTACTTAGAACTGCAATGTATTTTGAGGACATGTGTCAACATATTGAAAAGAGACATTACAACTTAAAACAACATTATCCAATAAAACTTTCTGCAATGATGTAATATTCTAGCTGTTCAAAGGAGCTGTTCAAAGTGAGTTCCGTGTGACTATTGAGCACTTCAAAGGTGGCTAGTACCACTGAAGAACTAAAATTTAAATTTTATTTAATTTTAACTAATTAAAATGTAAATGGCCATACACAATTAGTGGCTACCTTATTTGACAGTGCAGGCTTAAAGAAAAAGTGAAAATGGAATCCAAGACCCTGAATTCCAGCTATACTGTACCCTTACTAACTTGGGCATTTTACTTAACTTTTGTGAGCTTCAATTTTCTCACTTGAAAATGAAAATATAAATCATAGCTACCTTAGAGGATTTGGAGTAAGAGGAATTGAGATGTATTCAGGCATTCTCTGATTTTCAAATAAGTGCCAATCAAGTACCAAAGTTAAACATGTGGAAAATGAATAACCAGCTCTCTCATTTAAAGGGAGTTTGCATTCCTAGGGAGCTCATAAATATTATTAAATTCATAACTATCCTCTTCATTCAGATAAAATATTTAATGACAATGTTTATAACTATTGGCTGGTAAGCAGTACCATTAGCTTGGGAGTATCAGTGTATGGTGCACAAAAGCAGTGGGAGGGGCGCTTGAGGGGCTCGTTGGTTGAGCGGCTGCCTTCAGCTCCGGTCATGATCCCAGGGTCCTGGGATGGAGCCCTGTGTCTGGCTGCCTGCTCCGAGGGGAGCCTGCTTCTCTCTCTCCTCCCAGCCCCTGCTCTCTCTTGCTATCTCTGTCTCTCTCTCCCAAATAAACAAATAAAATCTTTAAAAAAAAAGCGGTGGAAATCAGAAAGCTAAATTTATAGAAGTTGAGGTCAGTTCATGTACCAAAAGTACACTGAGAAGCAAAATGGGTGATTAAAATGTCAGCGCAATCACTTCTTTGTTATTGTTCCGATTGACATCTTGATTCCCCAAGGAGATTAAATAAACCCAGTCCATTTCACAGGTACAGATTAGCAGAAGAGGCAAGTAGTTAGGAGCTTAAGCACTTTTGTTGGATGTAATCACATGAAATAAGGTACATAAAGTACTCACCACAGGGCATGCCACCTACTAAGGGCTAAAAATTGCAGCCATTATTTTTTTAAGGATTTCATTTGTAAGTAATCTCTACACCCAATGTGGGACTCGAACTCACAACCCTGAGATCAAGAGTCACATGTTCTACTGACTGAGGCAGCCACATGTCCCCAAACTGCAGCCATTGTTATAGTAAGTGATGCTCTTGGGAGACCCATGAGATGAGAAGACTTTGACTATTTTTCAATTCACAAAAGGTATAGGAGAACAGAGTGATTACTTGCACAGACTTATTTCTACATGACAGGGCATAGAAAGATCATCTCCACTTTCCATATTCATAGCAGTCAAGAACTGAATCCAGTTGTTTTGATACTATTTCAAATCTATTTTTGTCATGAGGCATGAAAGAATGAATAAATGAATGACTAAAATACCTCCTGATTCCCCCATTCACTCAACAAAATGAGCCGGTAAAACTCATGAGTCCTCAACATATACATTTTTCCAAATCAGAGACAATACTGAGATGAATGGGGAAGGGACCAGTTGGGGGAAATGGTCTACCAGTCAGGTTGTTCAAAAACCCGGTGGCTGTGGGCCCAGACTACATTGTGAGGCATGTGGTGCTATCCACAGGCACTCGAAGGGGCATGGGGAGGTTTTGATAGAGTGCTGAAACTCGAAAGAACAGGGCTGATGTCCTGAGACCCAAGAAACCACTCTCAGGGGTGTGGTGGGAAATCAGCTTTATGGTGAGGCAGAAACATAGCATTGCCAGGAAGCTTCCCCTGGCCCTAATCTCCTCTTCACTTCATCTGAAATATTCTCACTATTTCATCCCACCACCTAAACTTTTTCTATCTAGAACTCATTTAGTTTTAACAAGGCTCCACTAAAATGCTCATTCCCCTGGGCACCGTCCCGCCCCCCAAATAAAAGACCATATGAGGTGGTCTCACTTTCGTGATAATTGCATTCCAAGAAATTCAGAAATAGGTGTCAGGATTTTGTGACTTTTCTAATAGGAAAATTTCTCATTTTATAGGGTAATGAACGCTTGGTTAAAACACTTCTCCAATGCCCTCAGGCTCCCACAGCATCATTCTTTGCCTTGAACCACCTACATTTTCTTAGACTGATTTGACTCTTTTTTTTTTTTAAGAAAGAGAATCTGTTCTTGTCATCTAATTCTATCCAGGGAGCTTGCATAAATCAAGGGATAAAGAAAGATGAGTCACAATTTTTCTTTTTTATCACTTTAAGATGGAGAGGATACTATTTCCATTTCGAGTATGACTCTATTAATTAGCACAGAACCATTACACTCACAGATACATAAGACTTCCCTTTTTGGACCGACTTTGATATTCAAAGAGGCAAAAATCACTAAGAAAGCATGTATGTTACTGTTACCTTGCGCCAGAATGTGGGAGCGCCACTGTCCCCGGCGTCCCCTTTCGTGGTGCTTTCCTGGTGGCCCACCATGTCTGATCCTGCTCCCCTTTCTTTTTTTCTAGAGTCCTCTCTTCGTTTTGGAGTTCTTTCGAGTCACACGGTGAAATCGTCCTTCTCTGGATTTACCGGTGAACTTGACCAAAGGTTTAGCTTGAAGACGCGCTCAGAGGAGCTAGTCACGTCCCAGTGATTGAATAAGCAGAGATCCAAGGTGCTGGGTGTTCTTGCTTTATTTACCACAGGTCTCCCCTTGTCCCCTCCGGGCTGTTGTTCACTGACAACTGCTGTGCTCTGGACTGGCGCTCTGATGGCCTGTGGCGCGGGGGACAGGCAGGTTGTGGAGGAAGCTGCCCTCGTGAAAAAGGCCATTGTTTAATCTACCCGGTCCCTCCCTGGAGCTATGGCAACAAATTCCGTTGGTGAATTAACTATGTCATTGTGTGCTGGCTCAACTGATTATGCTCCTGGAATGACAAACATTTTCTCGCTTTTTTTCAAGATAAAAAGTAGTCAAGACCTTGAAGTGTTAATATACGACTCAGCACTTTCTTTAAAGAGGAGAACACAGATGGAGAAAAATTGGGTCCTAATAAATATTTTCTCTGCCAAGAAACTATTCTAAATGCCACTGATAAATGGACTGGTGCATTTTAGCCATGTACAATCTTCGCAGTTTGCATTAAGGTTATTTCCCCCTCGAATAAGTGTATTAAAAGGGCTTTTGAAATATGCATGTGCTGGGGCCTTTCCCAGAAAAGGATTCTTTTTAACTCTGGTGGCAGCAGAATGCTGCTGTTAATGCATCCTACCTCGTTTCAGAACGGAGATGGCTATCCGTCTAAATTCATCTCCGCCATGGAAAGATTTTTCCTGTTCCATGCTAGCGGGAGAAGTCGGAGTCACTTGTTCACGTGTTCCAGTCTCTAGCATGAGAAAACCTGCTCTGATCAGTTAAAGACTTTGAACCTGAAGATCCATCCATCCCGCACTTTCTCTGGCTGGGGGCCTGGCCTGGCTGCTGGAGGAACTCTGTCAGGGAATTTGCTGCTCCTCTGCCTGGCGTGTGGTGTGTGGTGTGTAGTGTGCTCACTTGGCGAGCCGGAATCACGCTTCCGAGGATGCCCTTCCCTTATGGCTCTGGGTTAGACTTGGCCAAGAAAGGGATTTGCACAAGGTGGGGAAGGTGAGTGTGAAGTCACGGCTGTTACTTTCCCCAGGTTGTCATGGCTGGGCTTGGTGACAGAAGGTCCCAGCTGTACCTCACTCCCCTGGTCTCTGGGTCCAGATCTTCTTTGCAACTGCTGACCTTGTCAAACAACGGCAGGCCGGAGCCCCCATCAGGCCTTTCTTCAGCACCACCGAGGTAGGAACAGCTTCTGGTGGCTTCTGGGAGGGTAGCTTCTGCACTTTGGCAGCTGGATGTGCTGGGCTTCTGACTTACAGCTGGGTAACTTCTCCCATGATCCAGCTCCCCTGCCCACCTCCGCTCCTCCACCCATCCCACAAGGCGCCAGGTCTGTTTCCTGGGAAAAATCCCTTTCTCTACCGCTCACAGTGGCTCTGCTTCTTCAGCTAAGCTGCGGCTGATACACTTATTTTTCCAAACAATATGAGGACTGTAGGAGAGAATCTTCAGCACGAGGGGATTTTGGAGGGCAACAGGGAGACAATGCCATGGGACTTGCATCTAGAAGTGACTGAGGAACCCAGGGAAATAGATGTCATATTTGTGTCAGTCTCTCCTCCAGGTCCCTGTAGTCTTCGACCTGCAAAAATTCTGTTCAGATCCAAGCATGTTTTCATATACCTTTTCCTTCTTCATTCCTATGGTTTCCTCTCTTCCTCATTCTTGTCCCCCGCCAGGGACCATCCCCCACCCCTAAGAGGCTGAAATTGCCTATCGGAGGTGAACCACATGCCAGGGGTAGCTTACACTTAGTCAACTGCAGGAGAAAAAGAAAAGTCCAAGTCCTGGGCACATTATTTCTCCCAGAATGATCCACTGGAGCCACTGAAATTCTGGCAAAACTGACACAGCACACACGAATGGACTCAAAGAGATGATTTCTCTGAAACTCAAGTCACACCTGGCTCAGCTGTTGAGAAAATATTCACCTCTACCCGCACTGGTTCACTCTTGTCAGTAATGGAAAAAACCACTCTTGTGTCATCAAGGCCCAATGGTTCACACGAGAGGCTTGTTTCGAAATTGCCTCTTGTTGTCATCTCTTAGAATAACAGTGCATTTGATATTTCTGAGCTTCTCATCACAAATCCAAAAGAAGAATCACTGCCAATCTCTTCTCAGTTAATTCCTACTTAGAGGAGGTGATTATTCGTCACGAGCATTAGCAAGTTCAGAGGCTAGGTTATGGTTAATTTTGGCTCCAGAGCAAACAGAATGGAGACAGGGCCACCAACAAAATACCACAGTGTATTCATACCACAGATCTGCTCAGGTCATTCAATTAAGCCACTTACTTGGATCATGAAGATGTGTATTATCTGAACACTTATTGGTGGCTTTCTGGGGTCTTGTCTGCTTTTGAGAGTCCCATAAGATAAATAAATGGTCTCAGGGGATCCCTATGAACAATCCCCTATGGTCTATACAAGGGGCTCTCCAGAGCCCCGAGAGTTGTGTCAGTGGGTAGAACCTAGTTGCCCAGGCCCACAGAGGTGGACAAGGATGGGCAGCAGATCCCAGCTACTAGATGAGGTACCTTGTGTGAATTAGAAAAGGGTGCTCCTCTGGGCCCAGCAGCCCAATTTGGTGAACAGAAGGAGGGCTGGATTTTAGCCCCTAATTCTCCGAATCTGTGGAAAATCTTTGCAGCCCCTGAGCCTTGGAGAAAAGGGCATTTTCGGGGAAGCAAACTGTGTCAGTCCCATTATAAGAGATACACTCTTGAATTTGGGAAACAAGTATTCTCAGAGCTCACGAAGTAAGGTGTTCTCTGTTGGGAGATGTGGTTGGTCAACTAGGCCTCAGCTCCAAAGCTGATGAAACTTCCTTTCTTCCACACAAATTCCCCAGGAGCATTCTGTTGGCCTTTCTGATACCTTCCTATCCGGCAGAGTGTGCCCAGGATCATGGCTTTATGTGGCTCAATTTGAGAGGGCCTTGTATTAGCTCTCTTCTGAGGAGTCTGTGTGGCCATGGACATGTGCATGGCCTGGAGGCCCTCACACTCCCAACCCCTAGAAAATTCTTGAGTTCTCCACCTAAATGTCCCACCGTGTTTTCAGAACTCATAAGGCCTCTTCTTCGGTGCCATCCTCCCGGGAGGAACCTCCCCAGAGAACTGCATATCCCTGGACATGAGGGGCAGTGGAGCTTTCAGCAGGAAAATGTGAACAGACTCTGGATATCTGGGCCACTCTGTGGTGCAGCACAGAGGAGGGTCTTTGGCTCTGCTCCCCTCCCCTCCGCCATATACATATGTACACACAGTCTGTTAGCATGATTTCAAACTTTTAAATATTTAGACAAATGATACACGGACCTCCATTTAGATTCTTGCCCTGACCCCACAAATGATAGCAGCAGGCCCAGCTAGAGGTATTTGAAATCACTGTAGAAATTAATGGATTAATTAGCATTTTCTGGTTATTTTAATTATAGTTAATTACAGGTAGTTTGTCATCAAAAGTCTAATCATCTCTGAATGTATGAACAATATGATTTTCTGAATCTAAGTGACTCAAGGCTAGATTCTGGACTGAGATGAAATAATTTGCTCCAACTCTAGCACAGTCCTTGGAATACGGTAGTTGCCTTGAAAATGACTGTTAGTGAGTAAATGAATCCCTGAAGCGTTTTATTAACTGCCTCTCGTCTTTTGCTCTGCCTATGCCAGATAACTGGCTTACAAACTCTTCGACGGATGAGTTCATCTAAGGCTCTTATGGATGTCTTAGTCAACTGGGCTTAGAAATTATTTGACTGATGAGTTCACCCAAGGGTGGTTTGGGGTGTTAGTCCAGAGAGGAAGCCAGGGAACAGACGAGGAGATGGGAAAGTGACTTCCTGTGACTCCCTGTCTTTTTGCTTTTCCTGAGCCCCTGGAATTATCTAGCAACTGTTCTGAAGAAGGAATACAAAGTTTAGACTTTGCACATTCAAGTGATAGACTAAAGGCATACTCCACCCCCATGATGTGAAGACATGTCCAAGTTCAAGTGTAGAATTTAGGTATTTTGCATATTCCATTGAATTTACTGAACATGGACTTCATATCAAGCCCTCAACCAGGTGAAAATCTGAAGGCCATTACAGCAGTACCAACCTTCGAGGCCTTACACATCAGTATATAAGGTACCATTACATTGAGTATTTGCCTGACTTCAATAATCTACTTTACCACCCCCTACTCATCATTCTCCATTCCCCCTTACCCCTGCTTTGTTTGACTTCATTAGGGACAGATGACGTGTACTGGTTTGCTATGGGTCTCTTCCAGGAGAGTGAAAGGGCAGGGTCTTTGCTTCACTGCCAATGTCCCCAGTGACTAGAAGAGTGACTGACACACACAAGGGCTTGGTAAACATTTTGTTGATGAACATATTAATTTGACATCAAAGTTGCACTATTTTTTTTCTCATTCAGTTTGGCTTTGAGTGGGTAGGAAAGTAGCACGAAGACAAGCAATCTGGTTTGACAGTGAGAGGTGTTCCTGAAGGGACTAGAGGCAAATAATGCTAAGATGGAGTTCAGACCTGGAGAACAGCTGGTGTCCAGGGAAAACAAATGCACTGAGAAACTGTAGGAAGCAAGGACCTTTGGAATTTGTTAACTTTCTTTTCAGGCACACAGTCGTTGTAGTTTGCAGTAACTTGCTGAAACAACCACGCTCCAGGCAAAGAAGCATGTTTGTTGATCCACGGGGCCATTAATGGAACTTCTGTAAGGTGTTAGAGCTATAAGCCAAGTAACTCGGAGATGGTTTTCTTCCTCTCACCTCATAACAGCTATTTTCATGGATTGCTGGGGTTTTGCAGACATTTTTCTTTCTGACAGGAAAACTGACTTTCTGCCTGGTTTGAGCCTGACTTGAAGAAAAACTGAACATGATGTATTTTGTAACTGCTATATCTTTCCCATGGCTTTTTGCTGTTCACCAGTAAAAATGATACAAAATTTCTGTGCTTGACCAAAGGAACCCAGTACATTGTTTCTTTTTTCCTTTTCCCTCCTCCATTCTCCCACCCACCAGGACAAAGACAAAAGGGCATCTTCACCTTCAACTGTAGATCTTCTTTTTTTCTCAAAGATTTATTTGAGAGAGTGGGGGGGGGGTAGGGGTGGGAGAAAGGACAGA